CTCTGGCACTCCGATAAGAGTGTTCAAATTGCACATATTTTTATAGACTGCTGCTCTTATAAATATTTTTCTTCCGTTCGCTGTTCTTTGCACTGAATTATGCATCTCACATGCTTTGAAATTTTTTCTATAGCTGCTATTTGTGCACAGTTTTTCCTTTTTACCAAATTCTTGTGAAATTGGAATGTATCATGATGTATATCATGTCTAACACATGCATGCAGCCCTCCTCTTTGAATGCCTTTGATACGTAAAAAAACAGAACAGAAAGAAAAACAGTAGTTTTTCTTTCATAAATGGTGTAAGAATATTAGCGGTTTTTCCCTCTTTTTTTAAGTTTTAGACGCAGAAAACTTGCTCAAAACCTCGGATAGAACCTTGAAAAATTGTTTTCTGTAGGTTTGACGACGTGCTCTCTCATTTGGACAGGTCAAAAAACATTTTTAGTGAAAATGGTTTTTAGGTTGAAAAGCCAAGATCTTTAAAAAACGGGTCTTTAAATCTAAAGCGGGCAAAAACCATTGTGATATTCGGAATCAGCAAGTTCGATTACCTATTATCAACTAAGTTTCAGCTCAAAAGCGAGGAGGCAGTTGGTGGCCTTCCCTCGTAAGTATGTTAATTTCGTTTGTTGAACAGTTCTTTTTTTTGACAATTAAAATTTCGTGTAAATGAAATAGATAATCATTTGAAATATTTTCGTCTAACGAGATAATTCTATTAAGTTAAGAGTAACTTACCATCTTCTATAAACATTAATATCTTTTCAATTATATTTTTTTTTATGACAATGAACATTTTTTTTCTTTTTGTTAATCCTATTTTCATTGTAAGTAATTAAAGGAAATAAACGAAGATGAATAGATTTTAATAGTTTCATATATATTTATGAAGAAAGTATAATTCGTATGTTGGAAATAGTTATTGATTTTGTTTTAGATAATATGTTAAATACATTAGAAAACCTGACAAATGAAATTCTACTTATAATATTAAATTATAGAAGATGATTCGAAATAATTGAATCATTTTGGTCATTTCTTTTCAATGATTCAAAAATTCTTCTTTTTATTAATTTAAAAAAGATTATTCTTAAAAAATGTTATTTGACGATAAAATTGATTAAAAATTTATCATTTCTTGTTCGATATCAATTGGATGAAAATAATTTTTACAATTGATAAAGATATTTGTTGAATTAGTTGGTTATAAAAGAACATCTCGAATAATTCGTCATAATGAAGATAAAATTAATATTTATACTTTTAAATTTAAGTAATATTCAATATAATAGAATATATTTCTATATTAATAACAAATTGAAATATAAATCTTATATATTTTTAAATAGACTCGAAATTGATGTTTATGTTCAAAGAATTTCTACATCAATTGCTTGATATATCAGATGATGATAATGTCAATGATATTCATGAATGTCTTTCACTATCTTCTGTTTCAATTAACAGTTTAGTTATTACTTATTGTATGAATCTTCATCATTTACATATTCATTTAACTTACGGTTATTTTGTTGAACATAGCATTGAACATGGATCTGCTCTTCAAACTCTTTCTGTTATATTCAAAGATTTCTAAATGCAAAAATGGGAAGATGAACCGGAATGAAACAATTTCCATCAATACTGTCAATTGTTATGAAAAGGTAAAAACAAATAAGAGAAAAAATCTATTCAATCTTCAATAAAAAGATTTGAATAAACTTTTAGAATAATATAATGTTAAATGAAATGTTCAGTCTAATATTTGACTATTTTTTGTTTTTCAAAACAAGTTTAGAGATTATAAAATTAGGACAAATCATACGGAAGTCGAATAATCTGTTAGTTTAAATAGATAAAGCAAGGTGAATAATCATATTTAATAATAATTATCGGTATCAAGTATCTCGTCATAAGATAATCAATGAAAAAGAATTTATTCGTACCAAAGCTAAAATCTTCTTACCAGAGATCAAAGGCTGCGGTGAAGTGTTGTAACTGTGCCGAAGGTATCTCATTCTTACTAATTTAAAATAGAAACAGTATCTAATATCTTTATATAATTCTCTTGAAGATGAGTCTGTATGCAATTACAAATTGAATTGTTTATTTGCTTTAATTCAGAGCACGTTCTTTGTTAACTAGATTGAAATTAATAAATAAATACATAGCTTATGTTGTTCGTTAGTACTAATCTTCGTAGGTTCTAAAATTTGTAAAAGATTTCTTATGATAGATTATCTACAGGCATGTGCCCAGGTTTTGGGCGAAGGAGAAAGGAAACTGAATTTTTTCTATCGAATTTCGATGAACTTCTATGCATAACGAGTAGATGACAATTTATATTTGTTCAGTTTTACTCATATTTGATGACTCTACCCGTACACAATCATAAAATCAAAGAAAAAAAACGACAACATGTTCTTAATAAAAGCATTTTAATTAAATTGATTTATAAAACTTAATCTACGTTTTGATTTGGCAAATGAATCAGTAATGCTTTCAATATTTAATTCTTGAACTACACTTTTTGTAAATATCGATTGGTATGTCGTTTTTCTTTCTTTGTTATGACCGAGACAGCAACTTGATGATATGACAAGAGAACGGAACAAAAGATACTCTTCTCGAGGGTATCGAATCCACGTCTTGTACTTTTCGGGCAGTTGTATTACCACTGTAGTAGAAAGCAGTGTTTATTATCCTTTTTATTCCTTCTTATGACCGAATGGAAACACTTCAGACATAACATCGATAATAATCAAAGCACATAAAGCGTATGATTTTTAATGAATATTTACTGAAAGAATATTACGTTTATATTGTTTTATGTCAATCACAAAATGGAAAAACAATAATTGTAACAATAGAGATCCTACTCACATTTGACTCGAATCAATACAAACAAAGAATTGATACACACATAATTCACATTTATTGATTGACATAAATATCAGCAACACCTTATTGAAATGCTCAAATAAGAAACATCTTGCAAATTGGTAGTAGAAATCTTTTCCGAGTAGGAGCCCTCTGGAATCGTTCATTTTTGAATATAAAATGAAAAATATTCTTTTGAATAATAATTTTTTCTAGATGCCAAAATTAAAATGTTTTAGTTTAAAAAGTATTATTTTCGATGACTTTGAATTAGTTTATTTAAAGTGGATAATTAATAATGTCTATTACATTGAGAAACTAAAAATTCGTTTAGATATAAAAAAATTCAATGAACGAAAATAGTGTTATTGATGTAAATTATCTTCGTAAATATATAATGCCTTATACAGTGGCGTATCCAGCAGGGTAGCAATTGGGCAATTGCCACCCAAACGAAAATCTATTGCTACCCTTTCCTTTTTTAGCGTGGGCGATTGCCAATTGTAAAAAAAAATACGAAAATTTGTGCGCACTTAAAGATTCAAGGACTGTTTTCTGTCAACATTTTTGCTCTTGACGAGATTTAATCAAGTGATTTACAAGAATTGATTTTCAATGTCTTGTAGTTAAAGAATGATCACCATAATAATAATAATTCATTGATATTTACTGGCAAAATACTCTCTATCTCTTATACATTCAAATTTGCTAAAAATAATGGTGAATAAATGTTCAACAATCTTTCTATTTCTACCAACATAATTCGTATAGTACAGAAACGACTGAATCAATCAAAATTAAAAGTTTTCGCAACATAAGTTGCAATACGATTCGTGCAATGTAGACTTGAAAACATGGGTAAATTATATAGAAAATTTAAATAAAATTGATTGTATAAATGGCAGTGTTTTGAAAACGATTCGACAACTTATTTCAGACATTAAACGAACTATATTAGTAATGAAATGACAATATACCGGGTGTCCTGTAGGTACACCGCAAGGGTCTGTGCTGGGTGCGACATTTTTTAGAATTCATCTGCATCTTCTACCGAATTACTTATTCGGTACAAATTTTCATCTGTTTGCAGATGATCTGGTACTAATCC